GGATTTGCTCGTCGACGAAGTGGAGGGAACAGATGATGCCTGGCTCGAAAATGGAATTAGAAAGAAATATGGCGTGTACATCTGTAGGCATACTTCTCTTCGATTTCAATTAAACTTTTTACAATTTTTTTTATTTTTTTCAAAGGAAAAAAACATTTCATGAGGAGAATAGAACCAACCTTTTCACAAAACGCATCACGATTCCTCTCGGCGTCACTCTTGTTTATCTCATCGATGTAATCAGACCGAAAGATTGAGCATTGCATCAGACAGTAATGTAAGTAGATGCGCAGAATGGAATACGAAATAATTCATTCTTCGCTAATGCACCCCGCTACAAATGCATGCTCTTGCATCTCGAAGTTCGAAACTGACACGTAGAACTCTCCGGAAGTTACCAGCGAACTCCCCCCTCTCTCTTCCTGTTTACGTATAATTTGATGTTATGATTTAATTTCTAACTCGCGCTGCTCTTATTATCCGAGTCCCTGATGTGCTTCTCGAAGCTGCATCCCGAAACAGCCCGTAGCGCATTACTGGGATCTTTTACAAAGTGAACTTTGAAATTTAATACGCGGAAACTCATAGAGGGAACTCGCGCGAAAATGCATAGAGGAAAGACGAAACTGTCGCATTCGACGAAATGTTCAGTTCGCCAAATTGTTGGCGAAGCCAACTGTAACTCGATTCTAAATATCGGATAGTGGAAACTTCACGCGGAGACTCGCGTATCAACGAAAGAAACTTACGACTGAACGCGGTTGTTTCGGGCGCGGCTAAAATTAGCGCGAAACGGCATAAAAAGCCCCGTTAACTCGAAAGCCGGACACTGCAGCTCAGCCGGCCGGGCTGCATGTTATTGATCCTGTAAGTTGTGCCCTTTGTATCGCAGAAACGTCGTCGCTGAAGTGGACAAAGGCGGCCGGCGGTGCGCGCGATTCCTTGATCAATGCGGAATGAATTAATTTTAGACCGGAGAGTGTCTAGAGAGGAGAAGTCGAGCCGCATCTTTGTGTATCTGTCAAGGAAAGTCGATATAACTTTGGCGGCTTGCAGAACCCCGACTTCGTCTTGTAACCGTATACGAAAGTGCAACATCGCTCGATGTGTCTACAATGTGACGTTCATATTATCGTGTTATTCGTATTACGAAGTTAATAATTAACTCGGAAATAGTCACCCGGGGCGTTTTTACACCCCGGCGGCGAGAAAATGTTGTGAAATTTTGTTTTACATGAATATCGTTTAATATGTCCTTTTTTTTTTTTGTAATAATAACTATTCTGTGGAAACTTTTAAATGTGCAATTTTCCATCGCGAACTCGTAATAAAAAAGCGTTATATTAATTAAAATCTTACACTGAGAGAAAGGTATATCGTATTTGTGACTATATAATTGCATGGTAAAATAATTATGGTTAGGAGCATCATTTTTATAGTTATTATTGCTATAATGTTAGTAACAATGACCTTATATGTATATAGTTTTACCAAACGGTACAAAAATTGTAGTATATAAATTATGATAATGTCAAATATTAGAATAGTAAGGTATGGAAATATGGATGATAAATAGAATAATCATTTTTATGTAGTAATTGCAATCATAATTACAATGAGAATGTAACCATTTTTTCGATATTCGCTTACTCTTTACATGTGGTAACAATAACTAAAAAATATATTATGGTTATCACGATCATAATTTAATGTTCGGGATACTATATTTCATATAGTCAAAACAATTATTAATTTATGGTTGTTCCAATCCCTTTTTTTCTCTCTGTGTAATTTTTTTAAATATTATCGTAATAAGCTACATAACGTGCTTATATTCCATTTCATATATTTATTTGCTTTCTACTGATTTTTTTCGGAAAATTGTGTTTATATAGGTATCCATAATATTCTCAAATACTAATAAAAATACGATATGTTGAGTAAAAAATCGTATAACAGTATAATGCTCGTGTTTATCATTGTAGATTTAATCTCGAGCCGAGTTGCTTTTCTTCCTTTTCTAATTCTTAAACCTAAGAAGAGTGAGTTAAATCAAGATCAAAGTTAATTTATAACGATGAAAATGGGTATATATAATGTTCTTCTTTTAATAATTCTTTTTTTTCCATCAGAATTAGAAGGTTCATAGAGACTCGGATGTGAATTAAAATTAAAATTGAACTACATTGGTAGAAGCGGGCGAAAGATTTAATCGACCGACCGAAACTGTAACACCGACAAATCTCTCGGCGAATCGCGGCCAATTTAGGTGACATTTCTCTCCGCGTTGCGGTGATAAATTCTAAATAATACGCCGACCTTGGCGACGTGTTTGTATTTGGCGTATCGAATTTTCACGAGGGCAGTCGTCGAAGGTGAATGCTTATATGGATCCACGCTCATAATTCAAGAGGCTGACGGCGGCAGGATGGCGCGCCGGCAGAAAGGCAGCATTTTTTATTTAGGAGCCTCAGCGCGGAGTAACGAGATCGTCTTTCCGCGAGAGAGGTGAAAAGAAAACCCCTGAGCATGCGACGACGCGGGACAAAAACGAGAATGGACACGATAACGAGAGTGGTAGAAGAAAAGGGTGGAACGATATAACGGCGGAGTTGACTTTTCCCGCAATAGTCACGGGATTTTGATGGGAATATATAATCCGAGAAAATATTCCGCGAGCGCACCGCGGAGGAAGAACACTCGAAATAACTGTGCACCCGCGAAATCTGCATCACATTTTATTTCTAGAGACTGTAAATGCCGGACGAACAAAAAAACTGTCGGGGATATTAAAATAGATTTCGACGACCTCTCTGACGCTGCAATTAATACAAAACGATTCGTAAAATGCTCAGTAATAATTTTTCGTATCTTCTTGGTTTTCTTTCATCTAATTTTACGATATATTTAAACAAATACGTTTATTGAAAGATAAAGACATTGATTACGGAAATGAAGAATAAAATTTTATTTAACTTGTCTGTCCAGTAAAAATTTAAATAGCTATAAAACACTCTTGCAAGACTGTGAAACAATACACTTACTGCACAACGCGACGGAAGGAAAAACGACTCTTTTATCCTTCCTCTTCTCAATTTACTGACATATTTTATATCCACTAAAATCTCTCGCTATGCAGAGTTATATACGTATAGATGTACAACACGAAATGTAAATGTGCCATATAATGAAATTTATAACGCGGGATGATGTAGCGATTAGCGTTTTATGCCATTGATTCGTGCACATTAAGCAGCGATGACAACGCTCGCGAGATTGTGAAACCAGATAATCAAAGTTTATTCAGCCAGATGATCAAATAACATTAACGATTCGACGACGCGCTCTATTTACCGATTAATTCACGATGTTAACATTTCCGTTGTACACCACGGTTTGAAAAATATAGAATAAATTCGAATAAAAAAAATGTTTAGAAGTGTATATATATATATATATATTTATATACTCTTTATTGACTAGTTAGTATGTTTGTTGTACTTAAAATGAAATAGACATGCACTTGAAGTTTGGCGAAAGCTGGATAAAAAGTTTCAGAGACAACGAGGAACTCGGTTTCAGACTCTTTGGGAAGAGGCGAAAGGTGTCAGTTGTAGCTTCGTGTCTCTCTCTCTCTCTCAACCGTTGTCTTACGTCGCGAACAACGTGCACTCCGCCAGAGGCAGATGGTACGAATTCGGTGACATTGAGAAAACAGCGCCCGGCCGTCCGTCACCCTTCGCAGCGACGAGCCTTACAGCTGCATTCTCCGGAGGGCACGCAGAGTGAAACATGGCGGTGCGCGCGCCACGCCGAGACAGAATTTATGCAGTAAAGCCCATATGGCACATGTAGAAGAACGTAAAGGCCGTAAACGTAATCAGTGCGCGACGTCACCAATCACAGTTGAGAACGTAAGCGGCGGCTGCCCACGTACTCAACTGTGATTGGTCACGTCTCTCCCTGGCTTGTCGGAAACCATTTAGATATATCGACTAAAAGTGTTTGTTTATATCTCTTATCCCTCGCTCTCTCTGCACCCTCTGTATATAATATTTCCTATACACCCATACTCGCCACATCGGTTTTTCTCGTGCGGAGTAAATAAATTATGTGGAGGAGAGTGTGTACCGTATACATATGTATACCGAATATTTACAGCTTGTCCCCTTCGTTTCCTCGCTGTCTCATTTTCACGTATCGCCACTTGACTTTCGAGTGTGTGTCGCGCACACAAAGGACCGGGGCTACATATTCCGAATATTTTCGCCTCCGTTCCTCGTTTTCCTTTTATGCCCGTGTCACACTGCGGATATATTATTGTGTCAACGCGGATCGGATTGTGATTGCGGATCGCGCATCGATATTCGGCCGATCAAAGAAAAGCAGCTTTATCCCGATCGGTTGAATCCCGATGCGCGATCCGCAATCACAATCCGATCCGCGTCCGCAGACCGTGTAGCGTGACACGGGCTTTACGCGCCGTATTTTTATATAATCCATTTCTCGAGCGCGCGCGCCGTAAGCACCGCGAATCGCAGGCGGCTGCTCTGAATATTTAAATCATCCCCCGTTTCTCTCTCTCTCTCTCTCTCTCACCACGTCTCTCTCTCTCCACCTCTCGAAGATCGCAAAGGAGAATCGCGCGGAAGCGTCGATTATTTTGAATATTTATCGCGCTTTTACATCATCATTCCACCGATCTCGTCCCCGTTGTCCAGGAAAAAAAAAAAAAAAAAAAACGCGCGAAAGTATCGGTTATATACATTCGTTTTACATACCCCGTTACTCATTCCTCTGACATATCGCACTCGCGTCTTCCTGTGTCCCGGAATAGTGGATCACACATCGGAGAGTCGTGGCACCCTATACGTGTTCGCTCCTCGTTTCACCGCCCCCTCTCGCCCTCTTCATCCCTCTCGCCGCCCACCCGTGGTTCCCCTCGTGCACATGGCACGCGGTATCGCGGCGGCGGATCCGCTCGGGCGCAGACGCGCGACGACGACGGCCGAGAGACACCGCGTCGTAACCGGCTGCGGTGGAACGCTCGTCCGCGCGGCGCACTCGTGCGCCGACCGCGATCGCGAACGCGGCACGTTCTCAGGGTCCTCTCCCCCTCGTCGCTCCGGAGTGCTCTGGAAAAGAAAAGAAAAGAAAAAGAAAAAGAAAAACAACGCACGCGGCGGAACGTTTCTCTCCCACGAGGTGTGCCCCGGGTGTGTCCATCGGCGAGGATCGCGCGGCGGGAAACGTATTCAGTGTTGTAAATCGTGCCGACGCGGCCGAAGCTGAAAGTCGCTCGATGCTGGAGAAGATATATCGGTATTCCGTTAAGAGAATATGTTGATGTCTTTTAAGCGTTCGCGCTTGAGCGACCGCTTGACGTCGCTCGATTGTCTCTTTTCTGTTTCCATTATTGTCTTCAGTTTTAATCGTTGTAACACGTTTTTTTTTTTTTTTTTTTTTTTTTTTTTTTAAGTTCGCATATTGCTCCACTTTGAAATTGCTGTTGCCATGTGTAACGTCGTCGGAAAAAAATCGTTTAACGTCGTAGTTACCTCTATATTCTGTCTAAATAATTGAAAAGCGAGAGTTTCTGTGTGGCTTCATACCGCATAGATTTTAATTACGCGAGTTGCATATAGTTGTTGCACCAAACGGCACTAATGTGTTTAGGAAATCACTCGGGACTTCGTTGCACGTGTTACGTTAGCGGGATGCCCGATACTTCCATTACTGTTTCATTTAGAAGCGCTGTTGATGCTAACACAGAAATGTAACATGGAAATATTTAATGATGATACAACTAGGACGTTGTCGATAATGTCATTGTTAATTCACGTTACGCTTCAATAAATTGAGAATCGTTAGTTGGGTCTCAAAAAATTTAACGGGAATTTCTAATAGCATTTCTCGCTATGTGTCTGCTTAATTTTTGAACCGCTAATATCGTCTATTTTCTACTTCATATTCTAGAGATATAAGAACATTTCTATCTAGAGTTTTGTCTGTGAGCCAAGTTGAAAAATAACGTTTCTAAAAGATCTGAGGCTTTGAGCCTTCAAACTTTTATAATCTTAGATAGCTTTAGTAATTAAAGCTCCAGTCGCGGGAAAATTAACTGCCGCCTGATGAAAAAATCGTTATCATTATATTTGTATAAAGGTCGCGGATAGTGGCACAAATAGAACTGGTATACATTCAGTATATATATATTTGTCCTATAAATTTGCTTCCGTAACGTTGCGTTTGCTATCGAGATGTAGATAGAACAACTATCGCGAAATAAAATCGTTATTATTTATTATGTACTCGGGCGAGACGCAAGTTTGTTTATTGTCACGTACAAGATTTGTATCAACAGGATTTATTTGCTATCCAACTGGACGATTAAATCGCACAATACGAAAACTTAATCCTAAAGTGGTAGATTTTCCCCGGCAATTGCTACTGTAATTATGAAAATTAATTACGAAAATTACAGAGACAGCTGCACATATTTCATGCAAAATTAAATAGTCATGCATATTTCTTGTCTCTTGTAATTTAAATTATTCTCGTTGTCGAAGTGTATATATGTATATATATATTTCTTATTTATATACTAGAACTTATATAGAATCTTATACTTAGACATTTATCATTACAGAAGTTGAATTTACGGAGTGAGTGTCTTATTCGCAATTCCGAAGTTAGACAATGTTAGACGAAATGCTTGACTATTATTGCGGCACTTTGTCGAAGGGATTTTGCCCGAAATTAAAAAAAAAAAAAAAAAAAAAAAAAAAAAAAGGACCGAGTTACAGAACCGTGTAACTGGACGCTTTGAAATATTGTATTTTATTTGACGAGCGGACTTTGAAGCGCAACTACAACTCCGTGACTCGATTCTGCTTCGGGGAACGGAACGTATTGTAATTGAGGGAAGCCACTTCGATGTGAGAGAAGTGCACGCTCCTCTTGTTTGCAAGTTATAAACACTCCTTCCCAACTTTAGTCTCACAGATTTCGACGTTTACGGTAACATGAGTCGCATAAAGGACGAAAGATCGTGTCGCTCCCCGCGTCTTTCGTCGTTCGCGAAATATCGCTTCCAACAGCGCGAACAATCTCAAAGGGTATCTGGAAATAGAAGATACCTAAAAATTAAAATATCCTTTGGATGCTTTCGTTGTCTGATTATAGAGAACAGCGTCAAAGGAAGTATCTTACTTTTAAAACTAATCGCGACAATGCGTGTTGTAGTACATTTGTGAAATATCAGTATTATATGTGGGGTATTAGTTTTATTTGCGCAATGTATATTTTATGCAATTTATCTATGCCATATGAAAGCTCCATATGAAAGTATTTGGTGTTCGTTGTTCCTCTCTCGATGTTTTTGCAGATTTAGTTATAAATTATGAATATTTACACAAATTGTGTTGTTAGACTCGAAATGATCTTTCTTTTCTACTGCACGATGTATATAACTATTTTTTATTCGAGAGATATTAAAATAGAATTTCAGGTATCAGCACTTTTAACTTTCCGGAAGAATTTTAGACTCACCAAAATCTATATAACACAGTTACTAACGCAGGATCTGTAAAATCCTTTCAATTCATATTAATTAAAAGACGCTAATTAACTTCAAAGAACGTGACACATCATAATGACATATCGTACACAAAATAATGATATAGGAAAGAGTACTCAGTATATCTTAAAAATAATTTAAACTTATATATAGATGTAGTATAAAAAAATTAAATTGACATTTTTTTTGACAAAGAGATTTGTAATTGAATGAGCCAAACAGATTCATTGTCCGTCAAATATAAAGTATATTTAATAGTCTCTTCTCTAAAGTTTACTTTAAGTCTACAATTTCTACCAGAACTTGGAATAAAATTCTATTTATAACTCTAACTGGCAACGTAAAAAATATTTTAAAATCAGAAATGTGTATATATATATATATATAAAATTTTTATTAAAGTGAACGAATGCGAAATAGTACTCTATCCTAAAATCTGATACAAATGTTATAGATTGCATAAAATTTTGCGAATGTTATTACTGAATATATATGCATATTATTTGTATTTGGATGTATATATAATATATATGACATACATCTATATGTATATTTTATATAGATACATATATTCGTATACGATTGCTGTGCAATACAAAATGTGACCAATTGAACTGTACAGAATATGGAATGAAGATCCGTAGGTATTAAGTATTTATGGATTTCAATTTTCAGCTTTAACGCAGAAAGATTACAACTTTTATTACAAAATTACCGGCAAGCTCTCTAATAAAATTACGTACAGAGAAATTTCTCTGTACGTAATTTTAGAAACTAGCACATCTATTTCTTTCCGCGAATGCAACACTCAATATCAAGCTTGTATCCGTTCATCGAAAAAATGTACAATACGCCGTGTAATTGAATTCAGCAGCTCTCATTCGCGTCGTCGGAAGTTTGTCAAATCTGCATGGACGTGTAAATCGGATTTGACGTTAATTGACGCAAAGTAATTCGCGAAACTTTATTGAAGCGTTCACGTTCGATTCAACGGTGTCGAATAAGCACAGAACCCCGCACTAATTATACGGAAAATTAGGTTCCGATGAAACGAGTTGGTTTTTCCATAAACATATGGAGGGTCGAAGGTAGTAAACCACTCAATTATGATTTCAAGAAACGAAAGGTTTCTTCAACGTATTCAAGTACTTCATTAGACTGCGCCAATACCCGAGCAGAAAGGACCCCGCACAAACCTTATGGGAAGTGGCCCTCGGTTAAATTCGCTCAAATTGATGTATGTTGTAGCCCTTAATGTTCTGATGAGAAGTCTCCATGGCCACAAAGCTTGAAACTCAATAGTTTTTTCTACACGTATACATTCTAAGTACAGCGCGACCTGCCTTAAAGACGGGGAAGGCCATTATTTGTTTTCATCTTTCAACGCTATATTTTTTTAATGTAATTGGGCTGGAAAGAATTTCGCAAAGACCATTTCCGAAAGCTTGAAGCCTCCTCTTTCAGATGCCGTTGATAAAATTAACCTACGAAGCGACATAAAAAAGTTATAGCCCATTTTTTCAAAACAGCGCCTGATTTTTCGCGACTTTTCTTATGAAAACCCCAGTTTTTTTCGAAATTAAAAATGCTTTGCTAAAGTATCGTAACTACGATAACAGGTGGCATGGATATCCACTCTAATAGACGTTATTAGATAAATAAATAAATAGGCTATTGGGCGTTAACGTTCAGTACGGCGGCTTCAAGATTGCGGCCTAAATGAATAAAACCGATATTTTTCTCATTTTTGTAATTCTAAACTAATTAATTCTTCTTCAAACTGTCTTTACTTGAAATACATTAATTCTAAATCCGGTATGCTTAGAAATCTTACTAATATGTCGTAAATATGTACATTCAAACACAACTGGTACATATACACATATGTATTTATAATATCATCGTATGCAGTACTTGTGTAAATCGGTATTTACATTTCTAAATGATCTACTTATAACCTAATTGTAAATAATGGCACAAAGGCAAACATGTTTTATTTGCAATTTAAGAGGTAGAGCACGTCAGATGCCGCTAATAGGTGACGATGAGACAAAACAACAATTAGCAATACACAGACGTGAAATTAATGGCTTACCCGATCTAAATATTCAAAATGATGCAAGACTCTGTTTCAATTGTAATCAGTCTATTATATACATATATATTTAGATTGTAAAATTTTTTTAAGGATGACTGGAAAAGGTCTTGACTGACGCCGTATCAAGCATGCCTAACTGATTTTTTAAATTAATTTTGAGGATGAAATAAAAAGGTCCTATAAAGGTACTGATCTGGAATGCCATAGTTAAGTATACCTTATTCATACCTGATCAGGGCCTTATACGACATTTTAGTATAATTTCCGACTAGGGAATACCTTTCCACTTTCTCATCAGGCCCAAATGATGAATTCCAGAGTATACGGCATACCTTACTACTTCCTGACGAGGGCCTTATCGTAGATTAGGCATGTCCTAACAAATTTCTGCTCGGGTAATCTCAAACCGATAGCTTCAGAAAAATAGCTTCAGACTTACGTCATTATCTCTTTCTCTCATTCCTCCATACATCATAATTTATAATGTGGAATGTTAACAAAAGTTGCATATACACATGGCTCAAATAACAGACAGTTTCTCGAACTGCGGTGGATGAAAAGTGTAAAACTTGTGTTCACCGAGTACATTATAATATAATTAATAACGGGTCTCTCCTTTTTCCGTCCATTCCTTTCTCCATCACATAGTTCTACGCTGTAATAAATGACGCGCGTTTTTCTATCGACGCGTATTCATAAAGTTCGGACCCTACCTTTGAGGATACTGTGTGGGCAAGCAAGTCGAAAGTCATCCGAGTGGAGATCAAAGACCGTGCGGATTTTTTTATTCACCTTTTTAACTGGAGCAGTTAAAATTCGCCGCGAGCCAGCTACGCGCTATACGTCAAAATGTAAATACGTCAAATGTTACACGTTCAAATAAAAGGGCATTTTTTTTTTTGCCGTTTAACACAAGAATTATTATTCAAACTTTTTACGTTTTCCAAGCGATATTGCGTGATTATTGATATCAGAAGGCCGCGAGAGTACAGCGAAACTCATTCGCGCAAAGCTTACTCGTAAATTAGTATGCAAATTAAATATATAAAGTAGACGGTGGAACGAGAGTGAACCCTCGACATTTCAGAACTCATTTAATTAACAATAATTTAGTGATAATCGGAGAGAGCTTTGGTTATTACATCCAATTACGGATAACGACGCTAAGCGACATATTCTCGAAATTTGTAGAAATCCCCATTTCTATAGTTTTCAACGTCTCACTGATCAATTTTCGTACAGCTGTTCTTGATTCGTCTCGTGTCTTCCCTTAAAGACTTTTTTCCCTCGGCATTTGACACGTATAATGTCGAGCATCACGACGTTTTGTTAAAACACGCGCACAAACACGTCCTATTGATAAAACGTGATGGTAAAGCAAGTATGATGGATGAATAGGTGATGTATGTCCCGACAAATGTGTATTCCGAACTAACATCACCAGAGTCGAGATCGAACGAAAATGTCGAGATATGTACACGAGGAAGATTCATTCACTCTAACGCTTATTCGACAACCTCGATGCTGCCGACGATAAGAAAACTCCCGTCATGCGGGCGAAGTTTGCCTATCTGTTAACGGAAAGTTTCCTTCGGCGTTTTTTCGTTCGGAGGCTGCGGAACAACTTTTTATATATACACGTTCTTTTATGGACGCTCTAAATGTTAATTTCGTTTTCGTGAAATAGAAAGAAATAGAAAAACTCATCCTCAGTTGCAACCCGCAGCCGTTCTATACGTAGAGTTGCGGGCATTAAACGATATAATAATTTCCCGATATCCGGTCAGGCTTCAGTTTTTCTATACATTTTTTCACAATCCGGATTCCTTCCGCAGATGAAATTACAGCCCATTTACGGACTGTGACGTTACGAATACGAATAACGGCGTAAATCTGCCTGTAAAGCCCGTGTCACACTACGGACTGTGAACGGGGAACGAAATTCAACCAATCAAGACAAAGCAGCTCTATCTTGATTGGCTCAATTCCGATGCGCGATCCGCAATCTCAGTCCAATCCGCGTCCACAATTCGTAGTGAGACACGGGCTTAATGCTTGTATCACACTAGCGATTGGAGATTACGTCTGCGTTCGCGTTTGCGTCTTTTAACCAATCAAAAAGAAGCTGCTGGCCAGCAGGTCTCGTCTGATTGGTTGAAAGATGGAATCGCGAACGCAAACGCAATCTCCATATCGCTAGTGTGATACGAGCTTAAGTGGCGTTTCAGCCGTGCATTGAAATCGAGAGGCCGCAAGAAACAATTTAGATTCGTTATCCGCTAATACGTCGCATTGTTGTCAATATTTTATCATATCGAGATTTACATTCGTTTATCGGGCGAGTAAAGAGTAAACGTAATGGGGAAAATGGATACGAGGATAGCGACGCTATGATTTCGAAAAGCTATTACGGTTCTGTCGCGAACTCGTTCGTCTAATGACGGGTTGCGGTAAGGATACTTCGCAAGATATAAGTGCCACGTACGAGTGGCCCTGCATGCGCCACGTAATGCGAAACGCGCCGCGACACCCGAAGCTTCGGCATCGTACATGACACCTCGAAGTACACACATGTGTAATGGCGCGAGACGGCGTCACGTTCCCCGCATCCGACATGTCTCTTACGATATAAATTTAATATCCTCACACTCGTGTCGCTAAATTCGATCCCGAGTACTTTTTCGCGTCTACCTTCCCTATACACGACGGTCCTAATAAGCTCGATTCATCTTACGGCGGATATAATACGACACTCTTCGTTGTAGCGGTACAATATCTGGTCCCTTCGTTTCGAATGAAAGAAAAGTTTCGCTTCTCGGTACACGAATTTGTATTTGTAATGTAAATTTGTAACCTCGTGTTATCATTAGCTACTTGAAGTCTTATAATATTACAGTGATCGTATATGATGTACTACACGTTACAAATTTGTAACTAATAAATTATTAATTGTAATATATTAATCATTGACTAAAACTATACCTATTCATTAAAATTTAATTATTATCTAAAATTGTACAATGATTGCAAATATTATATATATATATAATACTTCTTTAGTTATTATTATTAATTACACTTAGTTTACAAAACTTTTTTTTTTCATAACATGGCTGAAAAAAAGGTATTGCAATAAAAAAATGCATTTTATAAGGGAATGAACAATACATTCATGACTTCTGACCGAAATTTCAAGATAACGTTAACTTTTTTTTTATTAAAAAAATATCAAATATCACAGAAAAAAAACCATTTTTCAAGTATTAAACCTCAATTATCTTGGAAATCTGACGTGCTGCAGGAATATTCTCGTTTGCGGCATCGTTTTCAGCATCCAAAAATCTATAAGACACACGTAGTCCAAAATAATTCTACGTCGAAGCGACTGATTTTATTGAACGCTCATTATCATTTAGCGCGTATTACCCAGTTAAACTAAACATGCGCCGTGTTAAAAAGATAATGAAGCGTGTTTCGAAGCGTGCGGCTGTAACTGGGTCGAAGACGAAGATCCATAATCGAGCATGTAATTAATCAAGTACGCGTGTGCATACAACATGTGCGTATGACACATGGGTCTCCATTCGTGATGCAATGTCTGCAATTTCGGGTGGCAGTTACCTGTACGTCAACTGCTACAGCCATGCCAAACTAATCAACGTTGTTAATTGACGCCCGATGCTACGCGTTCCGTCCGCTCGGTGATTGGTGAATCGTCCACAGAAATCCGCCGATTGTGATACAACGTTATACGAAGAGAGAAACCCGTTGTTCTCGCGGTTGGTAGAGAGAAACGAGCGTTTGTTCGCGCTCGATCGAAACTACTTACGAGAATGCTCCAGAATTCATTCATACGAAAGAGCTCTCTATTGTCATTCGATGGGGATGGTTTCAGCATTTTAAAAATCAGCCCGCATCGCCGTCGCCGTAGATCGCTTTTTCTTCTTCGCATTTTTCGTTGCCCGTATTGTAAATACACTTCGCCTTGTATTTATTCTCGATGTCGATGCACGAAAAGTTTTTCAACATTTTGCCGCTCTTCAGAATGCAAAATGAACAAAGAAATTGTTATTATATTATTCTCCTGCATTATTGCGCTATTAAAATTCATACTGTCGAATTATACGTAATTTGAATTATATTTAATCATACTACAGATTGCCACTGTCATTAATTTAACTGAAGCAATGAAATTAAATAATTTAACAAGAAAATAAATTAAATTTGATACAAATTTAATTTATTGTTTACCAAATCCACGTACGATTTTAGAAACTAACACAGAGATAGATTTAGCTTTATATTTTGCCACACAATGGAAGTTAAAAAAATAACAAATTATTACTTTCGTTTAACTCAAGGGGTTGGGTTACCGCATCGCTCCTTTGATATTTAACCGTGAATGGCTCTTGTTCCATATACATGGTGTATTTAACATTAAAGGTCGCGTTTGTCAAAAACTACAATCAGGTTTAATTAGATAAAGTCTCGTCTTCCAATCAATCCAGCGTATACCCACTAATTCGACAACACCTCGTGTATATATATCGTTCATCGCATCACAGCTCATTACTCTGTCGCTTCAGCCGAAACCAATTAAAGTGACGAGGAGTAATCACGGGGGAATACATCGTTGGTGTCCTTTGGACTCAATGCGCCACACAGCAAGGTGTCCCGTATATTGTCCGCGTTGGAGGGAATCATCGCGACGGTACCTGCAATTATTCCGCGCGTTAGCGCGATCCGTTCCCCCCCCCCCCCCCCAAGCCGGAGGACATTGGCTGATGGTCAGCAGCGACTGACGAATTAAACGGGAGACCATTTGGCACGCACGTGACACACGGCTGCTTTTCTTTCATTTTTTATTAGTCCCTTCCGATTGCGGAGGACGATGCACGTCGCCCGATGAAGGTGGGGCCGTCTGACGAGGCGTCGCGGCGCCGTGACGATGCTGATGAAATATGAGACTTCCCGCGCCGACCGGATCTCACCGTCGTCCCCAGCACGCTCGCACCGATGCGACTTACGACGGCCGCCGACAAGTACGTCCGACGTCCATTGAAGAAAAATGGGTGCCAATCAATCGACCCGGAGCGCGCCCACCCCCGGAGAAGAAGGTAAATACGCGCCCGTCTGGCTTGCCCAGGTGGAGAACGCGCGAATCTTTTATGAGCCCAGGGCACGCTACGCGGAAGTGCTGAGGATTGGCTCTCGCATACACACGCACGCACACACCATGCGCGCACCGTAGAATTCGATATTTTATGAAGTAAAAGGAAAGAATGGGCGCGTCTCTCGACTTCAAGCGAGAGTTCAAGGAGGAGTGATTTACTCTCTATTCTTGAAGAATTTTTTCCCTATTTGCTAACGACGTTTCCAAGTAACTATATATATAATTATATTATTGGAATGAGAAACAAATTTTGGGGTTATTTTTGTCACAACCGCATAAAAAATAATTGATGTATATAATTACTTTTTGTGTGTTTAATAAAAATAACTCCGAAATTGTTTTTCATTCAAATTACTATTATTGCATTTCACAATATACACAAAATAACTAAAATAGTAATTATTACGTTATTATTACATAAAAGATAAAATAACAATATGATAATTTAGTTAATTTAAAAGTAACCGGTATATAATTATTTGGTTAATGTATATTATAGTTATATATAACTTCACAGTAACTTATATAACAGTTTGTATAACATTTTAGTAACAATGTAACACTGCAATAACATTATTACATATATGTTATATAACTGCTACTTTCTATAAGTGAGAAATTATAACTTACAATTACGCTGCATATAACACGTTATATTACATCCTGTTTTATTACGGCAATTTAACATTTATATATTTGTGTTTGCTAGGTACAAAGCTATCGATAAAACTATTCTTTTATTGCTATCTTCTTATAGTATCTATCTAAATTTAACTGGCGGAGAAATTAATTTTTACGCTAAAGATAGCTGCAGTTTGCTGATCGAGGCAATTGATTAGAGGCTAAATTAATAAGAATTATATAATAAAGATAAAAGAAAGATATGTGTACGTTAAAGTAAATTACTTTTTACATGACCTTGATTGAGGTGAATTACTCTTATAGCAAGAAATGAAATGTCCTTGAGTTATATATTGCGTTCATTATATTATCAAGACGTTCTCAAATATGTAAATATTAGAAAGGGGGACGCCACCCCGAGTTATAACGCTTCGCTTGGTACCGTAATATAATTCGCATAACTTGAATTCTTACTCGAACGCATCGACAACTTGCGTCGTTTCACGGGAGATCACCTTATTCTATCATGTTTATACCTCGCTAGAGGATCGTAAGCTCTTGCGATAACTCACAAAATACGCGATACGGCGCGACGTCGCGTGGAAATGTTCGCCTACGACTCGATTATAGAATATCGAGCTGTTGCCGGAGCTATTAATAAATCTTTTCTGTCGGTTGTATCGACGGTCCCGCGGACATTTAATTTCACCTGGAAAAATCCAATATTCAATCCCATTGTAATTAAATTCTTGGAAAGAGGTGGCCTCCTCCGCGATTCTTTCGCCGCGTGATTCCTATTTAACTTCTGTGACGAATATTGAAAATATAGATTTTATCTTCTCGCAGTTGACAAGTTTTAGTCAACAAAGTCTCACTTTTATTTTTAATATATTTATACTTTATGGAATCCTATTTACGTTTTATTGTATTCGGTTTTTTAAATATACCTACTTAGAAATAAATAGAATTTCTATAACTTTTATGATAAACATAATTTTATCATCAGTATACACAACGGGTTAACATAACCCTGCCAATTTTCAAAGCTGCACGTTTTTTTCTTTTACGCTACGACCTTTCTTATTTTATTGCTTCAACAAATACTTTTTTAGTCTTTGGACGGTCAGTTAAAAAAAAATTAATGAATTATAAAGCTTTACAGCCTGAGGTACAAGCGAAAGAAAAAAAAGGTTAAAAATACGTCGTATAGAGATAATAATAATATAGAGATTTTTTGGGTTGTGTTTATTCTATTAATATTGTACAATTTTAATATTTTTTAATCTCTTCGAAGCTCCTTTAATATTAAGTTCATAAACTAATAAAAGACTTTATTCTTATTTTTTACGTTAGAACCCATAGGAACCCCCTTCAAAATTGATTAACTTTATCGTGGCGAGAATATGATTTCCCACGCAAGTCTAATCTGGCAAAGGTCAAGCTTGAAATTCTCTGGAATTTGGCTATTTTGGGGAAACCGGAACTGCGTGTTCATGTAATATAAACTGTGTATCCGTATATGCATCCATCGAGATCAATCTCTGCCGGGATATGTAGTTTATTATGCATACTTTTGAAGCTGCAGTTTGCAAACACTTTCAAATTTTTTGCGGAAGCGATAAACTTTTCGAACAAATCTCTGCCGAAAAACTGCGATTTTTGCATTCACTAAAGAGGTAGTTTAATTAATATTAATGAATAGTCACATTTACGAGTTGCTATTTGATAAAACACTTTTATGCTTTCACTTTATATGCTTCGCATGTAAAGAGAACGAACACTAGCAATTTAGAGATTGACTTACTGATGAAACTAACGTCAGTACTAACAAAAGCCGATCCCGATTAACGTCGAATTTAATCCGAGAATAATCACCTGGGGTATTTTTGTACCGCAATGGCGAAAAAAAATTGTTGTAAAATGGATACTGTTTTCTTTTTTAATAAATATTCTTTAAATATGCAATTCCGTTGAACATTTGTGCAATAAAAAAGCTTTATATTAATTAAAATAATTACTTTTTCTAACAATAATATCATAAGCTAACGTACTTATTTTATATAATATATTTCTTTGACTTCTACTTACTTTTTTCAGAAAATTGTGATTAAATTCATGTCCACAATGTTCTCAAATTCCAGTAAATCGGAAAACAATCAATAATACACACAGTACTCATTTAATTTCTACTTTTTTCAGAAAATTTTGATTAAGTCCATATCTACGTTTTCATGTATATGATTCCAATAAATTGGAAAAGTAATAACATTCAATATCTTGTTAATAACAGTAATTTTTATATTGAGATAAAAATACCTCGGGTGATCGTTTACATTAAAAAAAAAAAAAAAATGAGATGACTACTCCTGAACTAACGCTTTACAAAAACGCAATCTCTCATCATAAAATTCATCATTTCTCAATTGATTCGTATTTTTCTGTTGCAGTGAATTTCGATCATTTTCAAATCCTACGCGCCATTGGGAAAGGCAGCTTCGGCAAGGTACGTCGTTGTGTTGCGTCCGAGTCGCGAAGGTGTGCTTAACGAAGCGCCGCGTGTAAAACGAGCGTTTTCGCGGTTCTTGTTTGCAAATACGACGATTTTAGAGTCATTCCAGACTGCGGCTTTCTGCGTTCATTCCGGCAGGAATCTCTACGTTATTTTTTGGGTTTGCATATACACGATAACAAGCACGCCACTGTTCCCTGCGGTCTCGCTAATACACCGTGCCGTGAAGTAATTCACACGTCGCTTTACCATCCGCACGGAAACTGCGTTTCAACCTTTGGAATGAACTGTATAGGATTTCTGTCTTATTATTGACACAGTTTTTCTGGCTCCTTTGACTCGGCGCGCGAATCGTACACAGTCCATCAGTTTACCTTCCGAACTCGTTTGTAACGTAAATGTATTATTCGAAGAACGCCACGTGGACCAACATAGGGCACGCATTTCTTCGTTCCGTATAACGTAGAGCGCGGCAAACGCGAATTGCATTTATGCCGCTATAAAATGCGTTACGTTCTCGATCGTAAAAAAAAAAAAAAAAAAAGCGCGTCCCACGTCGCTTTTATATCTATCAGTAAGGTCGCTGCGAGAATTCCAAAACTCTCGTTGCCGCGCTTTTTTTACGAGCTCGTATAAGTACGCGACGCTCCCCATTCTTGAATAAACATTAAAATGTAGGATTTAAATGTTTATAACTGACAATCGCAGTCATTTGCTGTTTGAAGTTGTTTTTAGTTTACTCCAGATTTTTTTTACAGAAAAACTATATCGAGACGTGTCCTTTCGAATAACATAACAACAGCGATGCAAAAGCGAAGTAAAATAAAAATATCAACGTTACAGTTTACTGCAAATCGTCTAGATAAATCAATGTGGAAAAAGACGTTTCATTGTCTCTCCTTTATTATTATTCTGCGGGAAAATTAAATAAATATCCCGCGAATATATATATCGAATTCATCAACTCGAGAAAACTTGTAGACAATTTTCGTGTGGGAGCCACAAATTTGCAGGAATTAAGTTTGCGATCGCTGCTTACAGGTCTGCATTGTACAAAAACGTGACAGTACCGGCAATATGTACGCCATGAAGTACGTACATAAAAACGAATGCGCGGAGCGCGGCGCTCTGAAAAATGTAGCGAGGGAGGTGGAGATCCTATCGAAGTTGGAGCATCCTTGCTTGGTGAATTTATGGTTCAGCTTTCAAGGTAAATCGTTTTTTAAGACATCGATCACACTCAGTCATTCTTCTAAATCTCATGGAAAACGCATGAAAAATATACAAAAGTGCTCTCCTGGAAGTGTGTTTTGGAAAAAGTTTTCCATTAATTCTGTATTGATTCCATACCGTTTCGTTTCTCTCTCTCGCTGATGATTGAAAGATATATTAACACTACAATATTTTTATTAAGAAAAAATCATGAAAATTGAGACTAAAATTTTTACGAAAATAGTTTTGTAACGAAAAATTAACAGCAAATTGCTTATAGATGAAAGCAAAACGCGCGCTGGTAGAAAACAGTTTGTAATGTGCATGTACATGCATATATAACTATGAATTTTAATGAATGCTAAAATTGGAATATTTCAGCGTGAATTAAACGTATAACAATCGTTTTTTTATCGTAATTAATAAAAATTGCGATAATTAACACGGTAGACAGTTATCCAGTTAATTCAAATTCACGAGAAAATGATAAAAAATCGCGTTTCGCGTTTACGGAGTTATTGAATTAGATATATATATAAAATTATGAATTAGATTTATAAAAAGGATAAAGAGTCTTTGTACACTTTAAACTGATTTTTAATAAATACTATATCTTTTTCACTGCTCTTTTATCTCTTTATCTTTTATGTATTTAATATCTTTTATAATTAAATTTTAAATTTTTCTTGGAATCACGTTTACACTTTTAAGAAAATTTTATAATAATTATTTTATTAATATTATACAATAAAATATTCATTTATTATGATAGTTTTTCTGTTTTATGAGGATTAAATGAATGATGTTTCTTGTACGTTGATCTTTACAATCTCAATTGGTTTTACCTTTTTTTTTTTTTATTCAAAAAGAAAAGACTAAATATATTGCAAAAGTGCAAATGCACGATACTTTTGTCTTGCACACAAAACTACAGGTACGATGTCTCTTTCTTGAATCCTTTTATCCTTTTATCCATGCGACAAACACGCGCATTAAACGATTATGCTTATCTCATAAAAACACACAGTATTTTATTGAAAGAAGCTGAGTCCTCTCAACGTCGGGTATATACGGGACGATGCATACAAATATTTATGCAAAAACGAGCAATATGAAGCTCGCAGTTGCCGTGAAGACTTTAATGAGAGTTCGTCTACCAACTCTGTAGATGGGTCAAATATTAAACATTCCAAACGAAATGCGCATATCGCTTGTAAAAACAAAACTATGTTGTCGAATTTTTTTTTTGTTGTTAAACGTTTCGATGGATAAGCCGCGAATTAATTTTTAAATAACGGAAGTACACTAAAACAAATTATCAAAGATCCCCTCGCGAAAAACCGATGATAATCGAGCGATATAAAAGAAGCGAATAAAAAAAAGTAATCTCGAAATAACGAACTTACATTTGTGAGAAAATATTCGTATCTTAAATTTAATTAATAATATCTTTGACATTTTCCGAACCGAATTCAATATTGAAACACTAATGACACACTTTATTCATGATTAGAATTAGATTAAATAATACAATGTATTGTAAAAAATACAATGTTAATTTTAACTCGAAGACGAGTTGAGTGGATTTCCTGAGACATGCAAAAATGTTAAAATTATTATTTTTGTGTTAAAATATTAACATTTTTGCATGTCTCAGAAAATCCACTAAACGTCTTTGAGTTAAAATGAACATTTTATGTTTTACAGTGTAATAATTATAATTTATTTTAGAAATAATATAAATTTTGAGAAATTTCTGATATAACTGGTATTTTACATAAAATTATATATTGACATAGACATTAATATGATCACCGTGTAACAATTAGCAGATTACAGTCTCTGTTATTGAGATTACAATCTCACATACCTTGTGTCTATAGAATAATCAAGTTAAAAGTTTCCTCATATTGAGCCATCATGCTTTCTATTTTCATTCGAAAGATATCGCTTTATATCACATTTAACAATATACGTGAAATACAATATATATAATAAAATAAATCGAGCACGTGGATACAAATTGAACGTATGGTTTAATTTTTGACAGAGAAGCTTTATATATTCCAGTCTCTTAATTACTTTAAGTATAATTTAAGTGTTTTCAATTTTGATGCAAATATATCGTCAAAATCCTGCGAATACTGGCTATATACATATAATGCTATATCGAATAAAGAAAAACAGTAAATTATGTTAACGAGATGATAAAATTGCCACAATTTCGATGTAAGTTATTCGATGAAAATATATTGTATCACAAAACAACTATATCGATTAACAATATTATACGTAAACCAGGAAAATTACAACCCCGATAATTTGGCTTGAACATTTTTTGATAAACGTCACGTCATAAAATTCACGTGTACGGTTTCGCGGCGCGTCTATATTTATTAAAGGTGTCGCTTATATCGCGTATTGTTTGGAATCGGTTTTACGGCTCCGTACGTGAAATATCGGGACAATATAACGCATCTGCCGAACTCCGTGCTTGACTGGGCCAATATTGATCGGTCAACCGTCCGACGAACCATGCGTCGCTCTCATCTCGCGAGCGCGCGTGAATGTGATGAAAAAGAGCGATTTACGGTGCGTAGGAGGGTAGGATTAAACGCCTGTTTACACGCCCCGTTACAGACGAGGAGGACCTTTTCATGGTGTCGGATCTACTTTTGGGTGGCGACCTGAGATATCATATCCAGCAAGAGATCGTGTTCGGTGAGGAGAGCGTGGTGCTGTTCGTAGCAGAGATCGCACTGGCGCTCGATTACTTGCAAACCCACAGGATCATCCATCGGGACATCAAGCCGGACAACATACTGCTGGATGAAGAGGGTGAGTCGATGATTTCTCCTCTGTTCGTCAATGATCACTCAAACTCTCACCTTCGTCCGCGCCAGCTGAAGTCGACCGCGGAAAGTAATACGGATAGGGATAATTAATCTTGCCGAGAGAACTTAACTTTAAGTTCAGAGAGAGGGTTACACTACTTTGGACCCTTAAAAGGAAGACTATTTATGGAAATTCTTTATGCAAAAAAAATAAAATTAATTAAAAATAAATTAAAAAGACACATTCATTATTATATTGAAATATACAAAAAAAAATTTCTTTTTAAGAAAATGACGGTACTGTAGTTGATAGAAATAGATTGGTTATCAGTGAGCACGATTTGACTTAGAACAAAAAACCAAGACTTTATTTTTTCTCTACATAACATTTATTAAAGAAGTACCTAAAGGTCTTTGGAAATAGCTTTCTTGTAAAAACAATCATTTTTTTACCAAAATATTTTACACATAAATGTATTAATAACAATAACAATCTATAACTAATCGTAAAGTTGCTATATATACTTTTTTTCTAATAAAAAAGAAGATTCTTTGAAAGTTTTAATTAAATGAAAATTATAGAAGTTAGGTATAGAGTGTACGCTGATTTAAAAAACGTTGTCTTTAAAAAATTTGGATACACGCGAAAGGATTAGCTGTAAAAAAAACTTTGTAAATACCTTAAATTTTCCTTTTCAACTAGTGAGGTTATACTTTTGTATATATAATCTATTATTTATAAGGGAAAAAAAATTGTCTCTTATTTTGTAACTTTATACATCATGGATTTAATTTGGAGGTTTAACTCGTAAATTGTTTGACTATTTTATCTCCGAGAGTGTATGCATTTGCATTTATAAATATGTGAAAGGCATTATCATAGGAGAGAGAGCTTTTAATTGTTAAAATTAATTATTAACAAAATTAACCGTGATTTAATTATGATATCGTGTAAAATCGATGCGTTACACGCGTTCATTAAATCAAGCCGTACAGCTTATTATGAATTTTAGAGGAAAAGGATCATCGCGAAAGGATTTAAGGGCGTGACGTAATCTCTACGGCGAGTAAATCAGTTGACATCCCCCCCTTGTCTCCATTTCAAGGCTTCAACAATGGTCACCTAATCCGGGGTTTCATTTAACACAATGCGAAAGTCGTACTCAATGTAAACACGAGATGAGACACTCGAATAACCGTTGCGGTGAATGTGGACGTATAAATAAACTTTGAATCTCTAACCAGTTAGTTCTCGCACGTGCGCGTTTATAAATCGAGCGAAAGAACAAATATTTTCGACATTATGTATATAGAAAACGAAACGAAAGATTTCCCAAGAGAAAGGATAAATTTATTTCCCCCGAGAGTTTACAATATTTACTATATTTTGGTACTTAAATTATTTATCGAAACTAGCATTTGATCGAAACGAGCATTTTGACGGATTTAGGAATTTGTCAAAAAGCCAGGAGCGATAAGCAAATTTCTTTAAGGTCAAATATGAAAGGATTTTGACCTTAAAAAAATTAAATTAAATTTCTAAAATGAATATAAAAGGATTGAGTGAGAGAATAATAAATTATTATTTAAATAATTACATTAAAAATACATTAATTATACAAAAAAAAAATAATTTAATAGAATCTATAGATATTAATCAATATATTAAATTAATTTTTCTTTGTTTACCGAAGATGGTCATATTAAAGGCCGAATCGTTTACTAATAATAGTAAAAAAAATTTTGTTTTAATATTCTACGAAATACAATATAATTTCGCTAAATCTATCCAGCGTCGTGATATATGCTCATTTTTAATTCCTTTATAATCTATAGATATTTTTTATATCTAGGAGTTTCATAAATTAAAATTATATTTGCAATGTCAAAATTGTGATTAAGAGAGCATTTTAGAAATATTAAAAATATATTATACATATATATGATTTTTGCTGTAAATATTTTAAAAAAGGAAGACTCCAAGGAGAACTCTTATACGGCTTCCCTGTGGATTCGTCGGTGAGTTTAGGGCGTCGCAAATTTCAAAATAGCTGTCATTAAGCTAGAATTAAGCTCTTGTCCAACTGCGACTCTCGTTTGCATATCAAGCGCCGATCTGACGGTCACCGATGTCGCTGACACGTCCGCAGACAAACGTTTCTAATCGCGCCCATGATTCAGTTACTCCAAAACGCCAAGCAAGAACCGGATTATTCTTCGAGCGAGCGAATCTCGCACGGCGAATGAGATTATTCGCGAATACACGGAGCCGCTCTGCAATCGGCGGGTTTTAGCGGGATTAACCGTCGCCTACGTTCGCCCGCTATTCATTCGCCCCCATCACGTTTACCCTTAATCTTGTGAGATTAATATGTATCCTGAATGTGGATTTAGTAGATTGTGACGATACAAGACGCCACGACGACGCGCGCGGCGCGAAAATTATCTGCGAGGAACAGCATGGCCGTACTACATCGTGCTAATTGTAAAGCCGTGATCACCCCAGCGATTGCGCGATTGTGATTGACGATTGGGGATCATTTCTCAACCAATCGGAACAGAGCAATCGGTGACTGCTTTGCTCTGATTGGTTGAGAAATAATCCTCAATCGTCAATCACAATCGCGCAATCGCTAGTATGATTACGGCTTAACGGACATCGTTCGCTTCGTATGCAGAATAATATAATATGTTGCCGCTCTCCCGAGGAAGGATTTTCTATCATGTGATCTTCTGAAATTACAATTTTTGTGAAAGTACCATCTCTCAACTAAAAAAAACTAATTGACACTGTATGGAAGTTTCATTTTCAATCATGGGCATATCCAGGAGAAATTTCGATAATTCGAACCACCCTAAAATTTTGTATATTTATTCAATCAACTTTAATTATAAAAAATACAGCTTTACTTTTGACTCTGAATATCATTTTGTATATGACAATACAAATAATTTTTGGAGCTATTATTAGTTACGAGTTTTGACAAATCCGATATATGAGTAACATTTTCGCAAGGTTTTGGAATGAGATAATAACAGAATATGTGTTAAGATATTAATAAGTACTCCATTCATATTTTGTTTTAAATACAACTATATTTTACCTATATTTTTTTTAAGAAAAAAAAGTTCTAACATGAAAATCTAATATTTTTCCCATTCAAAATCAGGAACAAGAAGGAGACATTCCAAGCTCTAAAATATTCAAAGAAATAATTTATTAATTTAAAAAATGGTATAAAATTATGTATAAAACTGCTTGTTTACGATAAAAGAATTGATAATCCCTTTCCCTTCCCCTTCCTCCGATAATATCGTTTTTCAGGAAGTTACTCTCTAAAGGAATAGGATTTCGAGGATTCTTCAAGATCTCATGGAATCTTATAATGAAATAAGCAGGAAAAGGTCTTATTATGTATCTTTTACCAGATATTGATACTCTCTCGCGTATCTCTAGTATTTCGCTCGTTCTCAGAGATTCTTGAGAACGACGAAGCACAACAACGAAGTATCTTCTCTTGCTTTATCAACGCGAGGCATGCTCGCCTCTCATACTCGCACGAGCCAGAATTCAGAAACTATCGGTGACGCTTTTTCCGCCTTGCTTCTCGCCAGCGATATCGATTTACAGTCAAAATATTGAAGACTTTGCTAGAAGTTACCACAAAAGGGAAAAGCCGAGTAATTCTTGAAAGTGACGCTAAATAATAAAGACACTTTTTGGACTCTTGAGATTCTGGCTCCACGGATTTATATGCATTTGTTAATCGAGCGAAACGAACAAATACAAACAAATCAATAGTATAAAGATCAATATCCATCAATCAATCAATAAGAAATAATATATTCGGTTACGTTCGCGCGATTGCCTTATCGATTTTCCGCCGTACGAAGATTAAACTTGTGGCGGTAATGACGGCGGACAATGCGTGGGTACATTGTACCATCTTCGTTGGTGAAATTACAAAAACGAGAGGGAAACGAGATAAAGAAATTGGGATAAGACAAAAAGGACCGAAGGTTGGATCCTCTTTAATAGAAAGACCGACGAGGGTGCGACTTTCGTCGGGAAATGCCTCGGGGACGTGGAAAGCAGATATATAGTGTTGTACATTTACGATCCCGAAGAAAGGAACAGCGTGGAGGTCGCAAGGATGGAGGTTATCCTAATTTCTCCTCCTGCACCTGGCCGACGGCTGTTTGAATTCCGAGATTGCCTCTGCATCATTTAAAATTACACACCGGTGTCCCTACTGTTATCGCTCGGATTTCGTGTCCTATCTAGTGTGGCGTGAGACCCATTCGACCGGTGAAAATATTGCCCGGGGGACACCAAGCGACACAAAATACAGCTGTTCCGCGTGTGGATTCAGGCTAGACGTCATAACGAACGACGGAACGGGTGGAAATCTCGATGGATTTGATTTATACTGGAAGAGAGATCGCGACTTTGGAAATCAATCGAAAGTGAAAAATGCTCCCGTAGAAATTGGAATCACGAGGAGAATAATATCCTCGAAAGTTCCTTGCGCAGCGAATTTATTGATGACGCATTACACACATTTTTGAACGAAATGAAAACGTTATAGACTTTTCTATATCTAGGAAAGTATTTATAAAAGTAATGTAAAGAGTTCGGCGACAATTTAGAATCTAGATAAAAAATTATTTCAATAAGAAGCAAACATGATTTAAGGCCGGTATTCATAGTCAATTCTTATATTCAAGATCGTCTTAAGTACAGTCTTAAGATGTCACGAACCAATCAAAGAGCTGCATTCGCGTCTTAAGACATTACGTAAGATAGTCTTCAAATAAGAACTGATTATGAATACCGGCCTAAGTGATTCAATAATTAAGATAAAATCAGGCAGTTTTAATTTAACTGTAAAATTGTGTGTATCGTTAAACATAAATGTTAACTTTATTGAATTGTTCCATACGCACCTACATAATACTCATTTTTATATGGAAAGTATAAATTTTTTGTCACTTTTTGCGGAA